ACTGAGCACTCCCTTATGCACGTACAACACTTGAATGAAGCCTTACCTTTCGAATAACTTGCTGTTGTTGCAAGTGTTTTGCTCTCAGTTCTGACACTTCCCTCCAGAGGGATTCATTCTCTCTGTTTAAAAATGATGATTTAAAAGTCAAAATAAAATTAAGTTATAAAACATTTATATTAAATTTTGTTAAAGATTCATTGGCCTCACTAAAGCTCTTCAAAATATGTTTTCAGATTGGGGTGTGGGGTGGGAGTGTCATAGAGTCAGATCCTTGGAAAGTAATTATAAAATGGAGACCCAAAGACAACCAATGGCCTGCAGAGAATTTCCAGCCCTTTTAAAATGGAAGAAACAAAATATTCTCAAATTTATTAGCTATACAATCTAAATTTAAAAATTACTATCAGCATTTAGAAATTAACCATTTTGTTTCCTTTCCTGTAAAAACAAAGTTATCTTGTTGTCTTCCTTCTAGAAATTAAATTTAAAAAAAAAAAATCAAGCATGCAGTTGGTTTCTGGCAGCAAAGGACAGCATAAGAACGCAGTTTCCTCTCACCACTAAAAAACAGAGTTCTTCACCTCCATCCAGCCTGCTTGTCCTCCCTCACACACCTCCTGCTAGGTGCAAGCTACCTGTCAGCAACTGCCCATCTGCCTTGAAAGCATGATTCTGTACATGCTTCTCTTGTGTGTACAGAACAAGCTCTCAAGTCACACAAAGCTGTAGCCATTCAAACAGTTGCCTCTATTAGCTCCAGTAAAGGGGCATGTTAGGTGCTAAAATCTAACAGAGCTTGTCAGAGATGACAGTTTTCATGAAACACTGCACTTCTACAAACCTTAGCTGTTCCAGTACTCACAGGAGGCCAGTTACTGAGACAGAGTAAAAACTGCCCGTGCTATTGAAAACACAAGAAGTTTGTTTCCAACAGCATCTTGCATATTAAGAGGCAGATAATAAATATCAAAAGCTTCAAGGAATAAGAAAAGACAACACACCACCCTCCTGTCTTTTGCAGTTTAATTTTCAACACAGAGAAACAAACTCCACTGGTGTTCAGTTTTTAGGAAACCTTAAGCTAAGTTTTCAGAAACAGCTGTTCACGTGCAGTGTGATGCAGGGTATTACTCCTCAAATGCTTCTATGTCCAACATATGTCCAACATACAATTTAGGAGTACAGTTCCAAATTTAACAAGTTACAAATTTAACAACTGAAGTTAGGGATTCTAAATTTTCTCACTAGTTTTATTAACATGTTTTGGAGGATGAGGTCTTCTGATTTAGCCCAGTTTATATCTCAATTATTTTAAACTGATGGGACAAAATCATGGATGTCAAAGACAACCATTTTAAGTTTTCATCTCTACAAACTCTCAGGGGTTTGGACCTGAGGCCTTCTGAAGTTATTTCAACCCTAATTTGTCTAGGATTTGCAAAGGGCATATATGAGCACTTTTACTCTAGACTGGCCAGATTCTAACAAAGATTCTTCCTAGGCAAAGTAAGTTTGCCTCTGAATATTCTACCCCTCAAATAACTAGAACTGAAGACTATAAATGACCGAATTTACTTCTTAAAACTTTAACTAACCAGTGATCTCTGTCACAGAGGTACACCATCACTTACTTTCTTAATGTCAGTCAGGGTATCCTGAAACAGTTCCTATTCAGGTGATGTGACTCACAGCTTACTGTCATTTATCTTGTTTATATCTACATACTCTAAAGGATTAAGCAATTTGTAACATGCATCTTTCTCACTGTTGAGAATAAATTATAATTACTAAGTAGGTAATAATGCAATTCTAAAAATACTCTATTTATATTTGCATTTTAGATTCTGTTCCTCTGTAACTGATGTAACAAATGAATTTCCAAACTAGATTTCTAAACACGTTTTCCTAGGCATTAACTCTTCTGCAATTTCAAGCAGTGGGGGAACAAAGACAACAATAGGAAAACAAAAATCAATGACCGAAGACATTAACTGCTGTATTATATGCACTTTGCACAAACCAAACTCTGCCTCAAACTAAATACAGCAACTACTTCAAACTTGAAGATGTAAACCAGCATACTTTATGCCAAGAGCTGATCTGAATATTCAGCCTCAGCAGCATTATGGATCTAAAAGTATTATTTAATTGCCCACTACTAGACAGTTCCGGAAACACCAACATTGCCTATTACTTTTAACAATATGAGAATACTTAATTTTTAATGCCATTTTTCTATTGAAATTTATGTTTCTAAAGCAATATTGAATCTAGGTAATGAGAAATCAAGAGACACCTAAAATTAGATCTTTGTCCAATATCTAGTATCAGAATTACTCAGCATTAGGGATCAGTTACTGATGCAGCAACTTACCTCTTCAAAAGAGACAACTGAGATTCAATAGTCGTTTGTTTAATTTGCACCTTTTGAGCACTACAAATTATTTTGGAGAGATCTTCCTGACGTATCTTGTTTTCTTCAGGTCTCGAAGATGAAGCCTTTAAAAGATTAGAATCCAGAAACACCACTTCCCTTTACTCATACTTAACTAATATTCTACTTCGGTGAGCACATATATTTTCTTACTAGCATTGACAAACTATGCACTTAAGTTAACAATAAACCAAGCATCAAAAAAACCCCAAATCAGAAACACAGCTGTCATCACATTAGCTTTTGTTGTTACAAACATTTGTGTACATTCAGATTCTTCAGGCACTCTCCCAAGTGCTCTACTTCATCATAACTGCTTCACAATAACCTGGTGTTAATAAGTACATCACTCTGTGCTGATTTTAGCTAGGGTAGAGTTAATTTTCTTCATAGTAGCTAATATGGGGCTGTGTTTTGGATTCATGCTGCTGTGTTGCATCGTAGGCAAAACAGAGCTGTTTTTTGTTTACCACTGAGCAGTGCTTATACAGAGTCAAGGCCTTTTCTGCTTCTCACCCCATTGCAACAGCGAGTTGGCTGGGGCTGCACAGGAAACTGGGAGGGCACACACATGGCTGGGACAATTCTCCCCAGCTGACCAAAGGGATACTCCATACCACATGGCATCATGCTGCTTATATAAAACTGGAGGATAAAGAAGGAAGGGGGGGGGTGTTCGAATTGACAGCATTTGTGAAGACAAATGTATCTGTTACGCATGATGGAGCCCTGCTTTCCTGGGGATAGCTGAACACCTGCCTGCCCATGGGAGGTGGTAAATGAATTCCTTGTTTTGCTTTGCTTGCGTGTGGCTCTTGCTTTACTTACTGAACTGCCTTTATCTCAACCCATGAGTCTTCTCACTTCTACTCTCCTAATTCACTCCCACATTCTTACATGGGGGCGGTGACCAAGCAGCTCTGTAGGTCCGAATTGCTGACTGGGCTTAAACCATGACACCCACCCTCTTACCAGAGTTTAATTTGCCATATTTCGACTTGATATCTATATTCACCTGACTCACAGTAACAGCAGAGCACGTTTCAGAGTCATATTTAGTACGTTTGTAGGTTTGCCCTCATTCTCTTTGGTGGAAAGTTTAATGCTTACAGTAGCTTCATTCTGAAACAAGCTACATAAACAAGCAGTTTCTTCTATTACTGATTAGGTAAAGTCAAAGCATGTTCTGTACTTTTAATACTCTCTTGAAAATTGTCCTATTTACCTAACTCACTCATTTTTGCCACCAGTGAAACTTACTATAGTGATAGCAAAGTAGGTTAAATATAATCAGATCCCCCAAAATATGTTTAAACGGGATTAAGACATAAATGAAGGCAGTGCAGTTTGCTTCCATAAACTCCAAACTTATCTGCACTCTTAATCCTGCAGTTAAACTTGTCATGAACTTTGCTATTCATCAACACTTAGCAATACAGTTTTTTCTACATACTAAGTTTTCACTAACCTTCCTTTTAATGTGTTCCAACAAGTCCTCCCGGCCCTGCCTAAAATACGCGTGCCGAAATTCTACTGGACCATCTCGCTCCAGTTTGACAATCCCAGAATCAACATGGACAACTTTTCGGAAGCCATCTTTAAAAAAAAGAAAAACAAAACTTCAAAATACACATTAAGAAATTTAAAATATGCTGTCCCAACTATCCTATTAATAACTTCGAGGATAAACCAGTATTCTAGTTGCAGAGAACACAGGGCCACTGCTCAAAGGAAATTATAACTAAACATGTACAGGATCTAGAGCTATGCTAGAATGCAAAAATTCAGGAACTTACACATGTTAAGCTGTCTGACAAAGCTTGCCATGTTGTTGTGCTTGAAGTACTTGGGAAGAATCTCTTTTGCGAATCTCTGCTCATCCAACACCAAGAAACTCTTGCCATTCTAAAATGAGAGACACACATTAAGCTACTTAAAAACCATACCAGAAAACACACTGGGCTTTTAGAATTAATCACCAGATAAGAATGTTTCCTCTGTGCATGCAGTACATTACTGATTTGCTTGCCTACAACTTTCCAAAACAAAAAGCAACTGAGTACTATCAATTTACATCATTATCTGTATCTGAAGAGAAACATCTCTATTGTTACTTTTTGCTTCCTAAAAAATTAATCAATTGTTTCCCAACAATAATCACAGTTTACTACAGGACAATACTATCAATTTTGTACATCATTCTGAACTCTTGTTCAGAAAGAAATCTAACAAAGAGCCTGAGCAAGGAAAAAACATTAACAACCAGCTGAAAGCCCCATCTGCTTTCCACTATAAAAGCATGATTAGTTTGATAGGACTTGTAGAGCAGATGGAGCTGTCAAAGAGCTGAGTATGTCCACTAGGTTTTGGAGTTACCAAAAAGGTAACTACCCTAGGCACCATACCCCTTCTGGAATGCCAGTTGTGAAGGAGGACTGATCTTTTATTTAATCCACAGGCTTTGACTAAAATAGAAGGATCAGCTCTTTGTTCTTCAATGACTGCACCCCACAAACTACAGGGCAAATAACTGGCAAAATGCAAATTATCTACTTCTAAAAGCTTTAGGTGTCTGTACACTCACAGTACTCTCATCCTGTATTTAATGAAAAGTCTATCGTCTTTAACAAATGTCAACACTGGTACTCTGTCTTCTTAGAGACCCTTTAGCTCAATGAGTCATGTTTTTCTTGTCCTCAAATGGCAGCTGCTCTATGATCACAAGAAGCTTAGAGAACCATCCATAAGACCATGTGAAGATCCTTATCCAAGAGCTTGTGTCCTGGTTTCAGTAGGGATAGAATTAATTTTTTCTTAGTAGCAGGCACAGTGTTGAGTTTTGGATTCAGCAGGAGAATAATGTCAATAACAACATTATTCTCTGATGTTTTAGTTGTAGCTAGGCAGTGCTTACCCTAAGTCAAGGACTTTTCAGCTTCCTGAGCTCTGCCAGTGAGCAGGTGCACAAGAAGCTGGGAGGGAACACAGCAGGGGGGGTGTGCAGTACCACACCAGGACAGCTGACGCACAGTGGGCAAAGGGATATTCCATACCACAGAACATCATCTCCAGTATATAAACTGGGGGAGTTACCCAGAAGGGGGGCAAACTGCCGTTCCCGGATGAACTGAGTATTGGCCCAGCAAGAGGTGAGCAATTGTATTGCACATCCTTTTGTTTTTCTTAGATGTTCTCTCTCTCTCCTTTTTATTACTATTATATATTAAAAGTGTATTATTGTATTATGCATATTATAAATTAGTTTGTTTCAATTATTAAACGGTTCTTATCTCAACCCACAGGTTTTAATGTTTTTAACCAGGGTGGGGAAACAGGAGCAAAGGGCTGTGTTGTACTTAGTTGCCAGCTGGCGTTAAACCACAACAGCTTGTTCCTGACAAACCAGGACCATCAGGAACAGGACTATATAAATGATCTCCACTGGATGAGTTAGGTGTTTAACACTGAGAGGAAGGTAGGAAGATAGGAAGATGAAAACTTCGAGTAATGCCTGCCTACCTCCTGCTGAGAAAGAACCAGCGGAAAGATTGACTATTTCAGCCAATGCTGTGTGAAACTCACCAACCAGAGGTGCTCAAATGACAACCTCCATGTGGTGCCTCACTTTGTCCCTTTGACATTGTCCAGGCTTAAGACAGGAAAATCTGAGAAACAGATCTACTAGCTCTTGTTGCCCCGACAGTCATTTACAGCAAAGCTGTACAGACACTAAGGCCTGTAAGCATCACCAACAGCTCAACATGATTTTCAACTCCTAGTGCCAACGACTGCAGCACACAGTAGTCTTCGAAGTGCTTCATTTGGTATTCCTGACCCGTATTTCCATGGACAATACGTACTGTGGCTTCACTAAGATATGTATGCAGTGAGACAAAATTTGGCTCTTTGGTTTCAGATGGTGTTTAGCCTTACAGTGTAAGAATACAGATTTGTATAGGAGGAAAGTGAAATACTATAGTAACTGCACTCTCCCTTGTTACGTTTGGTACACTTTTTGTACCCTATAATATCGACATAGTGCACTTTTTAAAGCAGCCTCAATACTTCACTCTCACAAGAACTGCTCGTTGCCAACAACATCAACTGTTATTAGTGGACCTTCCCCCTAGAAACAGCCTCGCAGAATTTCAAACAAGTAGCCTTTACTGTTAATTAAGAAAATAAAGCAAGGATACCTAATAGTCTTGGTGTGTTTACTCAAGTTAACATGAGCAATGACTTTGGAATGTCTTCATTAAAAGCGTAAGGTACCAAAAATAACACATCTTAAGGTAGATAACATCAATCTTTATGTAGCCCTTATTACCCCTCTTCCAAAAAGAAAGCTATCATAATCTATTGAGGCCTCCTGCTACCCCCTTTAGGAAGTTTTGGCTGAAGTTACTAGTAAATCATTATCAGTAAAATGTGTAAGACGTTTTATCATTCCTCGAGCACTCAAAACAGCAGCTCTCAGTTGAGTTTATCTCAACACCACTTGAAGACGTTGACACAGTTTGAGAACAGGATTTTCTTGAAGAGAGGATGTAGAGAAAAATGAAATAGTTATTATTAAAATACGCGCTTAGCATTTAGCATAAGAGTTAATGATGTTAACTGCAGCAACTCGCCAGCCCTTCGTTACACTGTAAGAAGGTGTAAGAAGATGGTGCCCAAGCAGACTTTCCCCGCGGCCCACCCTCTTCCCGCCGCTCCAGCAGGTAGAAACCGAGACTGGGAAGCCCCGGCCCGCCCCCCACGTGGCCGCTCACCGCCGTCCCCGCGGGGACCGGCCCCTCTGGAGGCCGTCGGCGACTGACGGGGGAACAAACAGCAAGCAGGCCGGCACACCCCGCTCTCCCTATCCTCCCCAGCTCACCCCGCTACTGACGCACCCACGGCCCCGCAGCGGGAGACACCCCCGCAGCCCCGCGCTACCCGCACCATGGCACCATAAACACAGCGCACGGCAGACCCCCCCCCCCGCTGCCGGGCCCCTGCCCTCCCCACCGAGCCGCGGGGCGCCCCCGGATAAGTCCCTGCCTGCTCAGCCGGGGCCGGCGAACGAGCGGCTCCCCCTCAGCAGCAGCTGGGGACGCGCCCCCGGAGCGGCCACCGGCGCTCCCTCTCCCCAGGTAAGGCAAGGCCAAGACGCAGCCCGGCCTGGCCCGAGAGGGGCCCGACCAAGCCATGCGGCCGTGCCCTGGCTCGCCGCCCTCCCCCCGCACACACCGAGGCCCGCGACACCCAGCAGGGCCTGGTGCCCGCTGGGCACCGCCGGGGAAAAGCGGAGGGTGACGAGGGGGAGGGGGGCTCCCGCCACACGCGGGCGGGAAGGGGGGGGGGGGGGGGGGGTTGGCCGACCTGGCTCCAGGTGATGAGGTTGTTGCTGGGGGTCTCGCCCAGCAGAGCCCATAGCTTGCTGAGGAAGGCTGGGACCCCCGGGCCGGCGAAGGGCGGTGGCTGCTGTGGGGGCTGCGGGGCCGGGGCCGGGGCCAACACCGGGACCGGAGCCGGAGCCGGAGCCTGGGGCTGCGCCTGCTGCTGCTGCTTCATTGTGGCTCTGGCGGTGCCGGCGGGGCCTCTGCCCGGGGGGTGCGCGCAGCGTGCCGGGCCCCGCCCCTCGCGCGGACCCCGCGTGCGCGCCGGCCCCGCTGCACGCGCGCGTGCGCGCCGGCCCCGCCCCTTCCCCTGCCCTTTACATAACGCCCCCACGTGCGCCGCCCTCACGTGTCACAACAGCGCCGGCACGGGCGGGACGGGGCCAATCGGGGCGCGCCTCGCCCCGGGGGGCGGGGCCACGCGGCGCTGCTGCACGTTCTGACCGGGCGGCGCGCGCGTGGCTCGGGGGCGGGTGAGGGAGGCGGGAGGGTGAGGGAAGTGTGCGGTTCCCGCCGCGGGGAGCGGCTCGCAGGTGCCCACAGCGTGCCCTTCTTGGGGACTTATCGCAGTGTGGGGCTTCAGACGGGCCCAGGAGAAAGGTGAAGAAAAAACTTGTCAGCTGAAAAACATAAGCACACAGGGCACGGAACATCGTGCTGTACACGACCTCATAATGTTTAAGCATATGCGCAACAGGAGCATCCAAGCCAACTAAAAAGAAACCCCAAACCACTCAGGCAGGCCCTAAGTAGATCCCTCTCCTAGGCAACTTTATTAGACTTCAGACCAACTGGCTGCAGAGCCTCTGAAAGAAAACCAGTTTGAATCAAAAGGGTATATTTAGGAAAACAGCCTAATGAATGATAAACCACAGTAAAATTAATTTCTTAACTGCAAATAAGTTTTAAGAAATTGTTCTATGGAACTAAAACTAGTATTTTCACAACAAGCCCTCATCGACTGACGGTGTTACTGATGTCTTACTTTGTTGAGAGTTCTCGGAAAAGTCTCAAATGAATCATGGTCAGCTTGATTCACTTCAGTTTGCAGTGAAAATAAAGCGCAATGGCATAGGGAGCGTAAATGAGAAGCTTTAGCATGGTAGCCAGCAGGAGAATTAATTTCGGTATTTCTGTTTTAAGCTGTATATCACACTGCTTCCCTTTTCTCCCAGCATTAGCAGGCTACAAGAGCCTGTAACAAACTTGTTGACTGACATTCACTAGATTGTTCTGAGAGAAGTCACAGTTCCTAAATTTATGGCTTAGCTTTCCAGGGTCAGTATTTGGAATGATAAAACTTAAAAGAATGCCTTTAAATTTAAACAAAAGTTTATAGTAATTTTCCAAATAATTTTCATCCTGACTTGCGTGCAGCAAGCTCCTACCAGATTCCATATATCTAGATCCAACTGCTAGATAAGCAGACATAACATGGTTATAATCTAATCTGGACACAGAATTGCTCTCTGTCTTATATTTCTTGTTTACAACATCCATTTGAGAATAGTTGACATATTGTTGGACAAATTGTGCTTATAAGTGTTTAATTATTTCAAAGGGTATACCACTATATTGATGTCTTCTGTTCAGACAGAATTGGAACAATGCACTCATTTTTTTTTGCATTAGTGCACTGAGTATCACCTTGTTAAGAAAGAACACTGTGAAACTTGATTTCCAGCATCTTACAGTTGAGGGGAGTCTTTTAACCTTTCTTCCTAAACCTCAGTTTAGGAAAAAAATTTTCTTGTGAAGCCTTAAGGCTTAAGAACTGGAAGTTATTAACTTAGTACTTACCATAAAATGTTAGCAATGTACAATTCAAGTAACCTTTCTGTTAGTTTTTTTTATCATGCAAGGTCTGAGCACAAGGTAATTGCTTGTCCGTGTTCTTAAAGCTTCTTGTTTTACTATTTTACAAGCCAGCCAATGTAGAACTCAGCAGTTTTTAGCCTGAGGCTATTTGACTTTCCAGTATTTTCATGAGCAGTGCTATCATGTTTTTCCACTCTGCAGTAAAATTGTCCTCCATTTAGCTTGCAGAAATCTGGTAATTATCAGCTCTGAGACAGGTCAAGCTATTTAAATCTTTCAGGATGCAGTTCTCACCCTCTCCTCCCCAGAAAAACATAGCACTATAAAACTTTTTGGGTATTGTGAGATGTTGGAACTCAGAAAAAAACCAGATCTCATATCTCTTGACTAACTCCTTGAACCCAGGAGATCTTGTTCTTCCCCAGGCGCGTTCCCCCTCTCTTGGACCCACAGTTCCCCCACATGCAGGAGTTCCAACTAAGACCTAATGCTTAGGGACTAAAAGAGCTCTGCCAACAGGGAATATCTGATTTCCAGCACTTTTTCTTACAGCTTACAGAGAGGCCGTGCAGTTAGCAGCACCTCAAATCTGGTCAGGAAACCAAGAGAAAAAAGTTTGAGATCCCATATGCCTAGAATCACAACCACCTGTCGTGCTCGAGCAGCAGGCAGTCCCACAGCAGTCCCATACTCTTTTATAGGAGCTTTTTCCACTGAGAGTCCAGTTTTGATGTGGCTTAAGAAAAAAACAATTTTGGATGAGGGATGTTCCACAGTACATTTACAAACAGAGGTCCCAAAACAGCCCTAATGGAACAATACTTCTCTTATATGAACTTAACCTGTCTTCTCAGACTTCGTATTTTCTTTCACCACAGTGGAATATACAGCAAGGGTCAAGAGCTCCACTTTTCTTACAAGCCGTTGCTTGGCTCTGATTAGGCTGACATGCAATCTGTGTGAACTGCAGTTGCAACAGACCCTGAGTAAAGCTTGAGTCAACTCCCCAAGGGGTACCAGTCTACAGATTTTCTTTAAGACAAACAGCAAGATGCAAAAGAAGCAACTAAAAGTTACAGGGCAGCCAAAGGTAGGGTGACAGATTTCAAGGCAGCACTCTCTTCTTTTTGTGACTGCTATTTGTCCTGACCTGAAAAGCTGTCATTTGAAGGTTATCTTTATTGATTTGTCTATATTGATCCCCATGAAAGCATGTTGCCCCTGGAACAAGCACAGGCAGCCACAAGTAGACCATCCTGTTATGTCTGCAATATCAAACACTGTGCACAGTACTTCACAGCAAAATTTGATGCAAGCCTTCCACCTTTAAAAAAATTATTGCACCATTTAAATAATTGAAAGTGTTCCTAGAACTTCCAGCTCTGCACGTACTAGAATCAACTTGAATCAAAAGTGGCCCCAAGAGGCCTAGGTTTAAATTAATCCTCCTTGAACCAGAGGTGGTCTGAGATGTCAGTAATCACGATGAAACTGGCTAGAGCAGGCAAGGTAGATGACATTTCAGAGAGCTTCTATAGAGATTACTCTTCCAAAACTAATATCCTTTCAGTTAGTTTTATGCCATTCTTGTGCATCTGATTCAAGTACGGTTCAGTGTTTTGGATAAGTTATTAATTTTCCCTGCATGCCCTACAGGGAAAACAGATGGCACAGTCAGCACACTGGCTGTCCAACAGACAATGATACAATAAAGGCTGACGGCAAGTTCTAAAATTAAGTTGTGATAACTGTTCCCTGCAGTGTATTTAAAATTAAGCTCTAATAACTGAAGCTGACTTTCATTCACAATCAACAGAATGTAGGAAGACCTACATTCATATTTACTACTATCCCTTCAAGATATGGAGATGGCATGGAAGTGGTATCCATTTCTTATTTGCTTATGTATGATGATTACTTGATTCAGGCTTTTCCCAATTAGGCAAGGTCTTCTATACTCCATGAAAACACTCTGTGACTCTCAAAATACTGTTTTCTCATACTGTCAGGAAAATTTTCTCACACTAAGAGGAAAAGAGTTACAAACTTGGAAAGGGTATATTTAAACAAGACATTGTTTAGCTAAGATAGTATTTAATTAATCAGTGTCTTAAAAAATTCCAGATTTGAAGCCATAAACTCCCCGACATTTAAAAAGGAGACAAAAAATAATATCTGAGTTTAAACACATTTCTTAATGTGTTAACAATGAGTTCAGGCCAGGCTATTTGATTTTGAGGGCTTTCTGCAAAGTTAAACTTTTTATTGAAGCTTCTGAAAAGATAGTAGATTTGAAATAAAAGGGAAGGATGGGCAAACTGCCTGACAGTAGTTTGCTGTGAGCAGTTTGCTGTGGCCGTGTGTTGATAATTATGAAAAATTATGGAAATTATGGAAAAAAAGTTCTATGATAAGAAAAAAAATCCTTAGTAGATGAGCTCATTTGTTCATCCGAACTTAACACTGCTTCCTTCCACAATTAAAAGTAGATGCAAAAAACTCAGCACAATTTTCTCAAGACTGCTGTATTCAAGTAGGATTTCATAACATAAATGTTATGAACATTGTGGCAATAAAGGGCTCATAGATCAGAGTGAAGCGTGAAAAGGAGCTTTTATCTTACCTGAAGCTAATTTAGCAACTACATCCTACATACATGATTTAGTTACTCTAAGGCCTCCATTCCATGGTATTTTGAATTCCAGTGATGAGGACTGCCATAAAATAACTGTTCTGTCAGCTCAATTCCAGAGGCTGGCAAAGCTTTTTTCAAAAAAGAAGATTCCTTACATTGGTTTACTCTTATCAAGAGCACAGTAGAAATTCTTTGCAAAGTACCAGTAGCAACTTTAACCATATATTTGACACGTAAAAGTAACAATGTTCTTTTAAATTTTAAAATTAAGGCTATTTTGAAGGATAAATTATATTAGCTTAGTCTGCTTCTCAGGGTCATTCAGAGATATGATTTGAATGGACAAAAAACACTTGCTTCATGGTTGTGGAGTCTGTCATGTCGAATCTTTCCCCATGCTAATGGCCATTTAACAACTGTCTTCAACCTATTTAACCTGAAGACCCCCAGACCGAAAACAAAATAAATAAATCTGGTTAATCTCAATCTAATTTACCTGAATCTGAACAGGTGGAACTGTAATATTCCACGTCTGTGTCTAATCCACTGTTGTTCATTGTTTGTTCAGACTTCTACAAGGTTTTATAGAGGAAAAAAAGAAATTACTTGATTTCCAGATACATGGCCCAAATAACTAGTTTTCCTGTATTGTAAGAGATATTAGAAAAAGCAATGATTTGCCATAGTTTCCACAGGATTCTTCTATTTCCTTCCCATTTTGGTTAAAGCTACTGCTGTAACAGACACACCACAGTTGAG